CCCGACGTCGAAAGGGTCGAATGGATCAATAAGGTATTGAAGTAGTTTATTTAATACTTGCTTCCTCATCTCTAGTGCATCAGCGGGTTCAGTGAAACTAATTTTGGAAACCAGCTTAAGTAAAAACGCTGCATAATGTCATCAGGTTAAAGAATGGTATGAACATGATTCAGACAATAGGATTATGCTTCAGAGCAAGTCAGTTTAGGTTCTTCTTTTCTGCTGTCCGTGCCGTTTAGTGTATATTCATATGGCCATTCATTTGCAAGACCCCTTATTCGTGTCTTATCGTGTGGTAGCTGCTTCAGAAGGCATTATAAACGGTACTGGCCAGATGCCAGACGAAAAGGCTCTTTAGTTTTCACAGCATATGTCATCCTTAAACTCTTGTAAATTTGGATTTAGCGGCTTATAGCACAGTTTACATATCAATGCTTAGGTTGCTATTTTGCAAAACCACGGCTCCGGGGTAATGAAAAAAAATAAAAACACGGTTTACCTGTACACAACTCAACACATTGGAATTGTCAAATGATGGACAAGTGCGGACGTTTTGACTCATATCTAGGTTCGTGTTCAAGGCAAAATTCGTAGTAAAGTTCGATTGTTGTTGAGTACATCTGCAGCCTCCAAAGTGGTGTAGGCCTCCGGCTATTGAACTGTCCAGCTGTGTTACAACATACCTGACCGTTACCATAATTTCACCAGCAGTTTCTCATGAAGAACATGTAAGATACGCGCCGAAACTTTGGTATTAATCTGTCTCCTAGCAGATCATATATTTATACATTGCTTATAAATAAACTGTACTGTTTTCGAGTAGTATAATGCCGAAAAGGGTATTTCAACTTCTAGTTAAAGTAAAAATGAAGCCGTCCAATTTCACTGTCTGCAAGCTCAAAAACAATCAGTCCCTGTTATTCCGTTTTTTTTCTGTTTAAGTATGTGTAATAGTTTTCATTCTGTTTTCGGTTTTGCTACAAGCATGGCCATACATCGGAGAATTCGCGGAAAAGTTTTTTAAAGAAGTTATTGAAGAAAAAGTGAGGGAAAATTTACCTAAAGCGTTTCGAAGCTTTAGGTTCGAGTCGATTGACGTTGGCGACGTGGTGGGTTATACCCTGCTATATTTTCGTTTGCCTTCGTTGCTATTATCCTTTCTTAGCCGGTTCGCATCGGAGGTTTGAAGGTTTATTCTGGCAACGTTGATCACGACAAAATTGTCATCGATATGGACGTAAGGTAAGGAGTCTAGATTGGACGAGATTGTTTGCTAAACACTGGGTTATGGTCGCAAAATTTGATATTTTGTGTGTGTTCCATGCATTGTGTTCTTTGGAGACTTTCGCTGCGGGAAAGTTAAGTTGGTCGATTCGGTTCTTTCAGTCTGCATGCCCCGTTTCGGTATTTGCTGTCTATGCAGTCTCTGATATCTTGTCATTAGGTTTCATTATAAGTTTGCTTTATTGTACCGTTCTAAGGTTTTTCTCTGAACATATCGTCATGCCACTACTTTTTTCCTCATGTTCGTTTTACTGGCGAAAAAGGAAATGATTGAAAGCTTATAATCACTGGGAAGCCAGGTTTCTTTCCGGTTCCCCTGTTTAACTTTAAAGTAGCTCATTCGATCATTCATTATACTCGAGACTTAAAGTTGGCGGATTTTAATCTCGACCAGGCCATTCCTCTTTCAATGTACTGACTTACGCAGTCCAGTGCATCCTTATGTGAAGGAAACAGGAAAGTATAAACCGTGCTTGTTACGTAGTTACCTTTAATGGTGGACACTGTCGTGTCATAAGCTTCTTGTAAAGTTTGTTACAAAAAGTGCTCATCGTAGAAGTATAAATGGGAGCGGAACTGTAGTAGTTGCAACTTAGCTTCTATGTTTTGGATTTCCGTCGTATTTTTGGGCTTGAAGAAGCCTGCAGTGGTGGTAAAACACAAAGCACGTGCTGATTTGCATTGCGGTAGCAACTTCGATTCCGGGCAATTCAGTTTTTTACTAAACGAAGCCAGTATGAGAGAAAATAATACTACCCGCTACATGTGCCATATGGCTATGAATCTTTCAAAATAATCATGCATTAGAAGCTCCATATTCGGCTGAGCCTTTGTATGCAGCCATTCCTTCTCCAGTATAAGAATTCACATCTGTGATGGTTGGGTACGTCTTGCAAATATCTTCAGAAAGGAAGGCGAAACGGCTACTACATGCTCAGTCTACCTTCCTAAGTTCCCAGCTGGTGAACAGCCTGAAGCAAGAGTTTTTACAGTTCCTGCTTCAGACTCAGGTTATCTTGCTGAAGCTCAGACTCTGGCAAAGGATCGGGAACGTTGGCGATACTGTCTTCCCGAAAAGATTAACGGTCAGCGGAACTGATGACTAAGAGCTCTATAAAAAAAGGATGCTATAACTCACCTCCGTCATTGAACTAGTGTAACCTGGACTATCATGTCTCCCAATACAACCTTTCTATTCTGTTTCGTTTTTTCATGGAATGAGTGACAGTGTAATGAGTGAGTAGTTTTTTATTTCATGCCTTCTGCTGCTAGAGCATTATCAATTGCAGCAGTATTTGCAGCTGTGCAATAAGTTCCGGTCTTGTACCTCTTTCTCATGGTAACACATGTACGGCTTTCGCAGCAGAAGAATGTTCGAAACTCATATTGACAGTCTGACGCGTAATATTTGATAAGGTTAATAGCTTTGTACCTTTGAAGACTTTGTTTGCTAGTCTCGTGAACTCAGTTTGCTGTAAGCATTTTTGGATGCGCCTACTTGATGGCAGCTTTTTCTCCAGAAATTCATGAATGGTCCATTGACATAATCGTTCCAGTTGCTTCGTCGTTCCACTTTTCATCCTGATCGTTATATGCCATTGCAAAGATAAAAATAGTTGCCCTGTCGAGTTGTTCACTGTTGAATTAGGCTGTCAGTTTGAATACAAAATATAAAATAATTAGAATGCGTGTTTTTAACACTATGCTTGTTTTTGTTTGTCTTGTTTAGCAGCTTTTGTTTTTTTTGCTTTTTTTTACAAAATCGCTTATTTGCTGCTATTCATTCAGCTATGCTGGCAACTGCGAAATTAACATATCTGTGGGCATGTTTACTGCCGGGGTGCGAGACATTCAGGTTGATTTTGCGTTGTTTTGCGGTCGATGCCATGCCGGTATTTTAGTTCAGAGGCAACCTCCGCTGTCAACTGCGGCCCTTGATCTCTCAGCCACCATGGTTCGGCGGAATCACTTTATGTTTTCTGGATTTTCCGGTAAGCGGGATGTTGATGTCGTTTTCATGAATCATTAAAAACTGTCGGATTATTGCTAGTGAGGAATTAGCATGATGAAAATGAGTCTTATTATAAGAGTGGGAAATATTTTGCGTTCTTGCTACCTACACCGACTGTATCTAGTCAGTATTATGAAAGATCCAGTGGAGTTGTTTAGTCCTCCATTAATAGGTTTTCTTTTTGGATTTTATTTTTTGCATTTTGTATTTACTTATTACGGACAGAACATGACGCCAGAAGCATGGAGTACTTCGTCGATTCTTCTATTCAAGAAGTGTAGTGCTGAACACCAAAACTACTGACCCATCATGCTCCTGTCACACATTTATAGGGTCTTTACTAAGTCATCCTCAGACCTGTCCTCAAATGCCTTGAACTGCTCGCTAGTTAAGAACAAGCCGGTTTTCAAACAGGGTTTTCGACTATAGACAACATCCACTTTGTGAAGCAATTTACAGGCAACTGCAATGAATACCAATCTCCATCTGGTACGCGTTCATAGACTTCAGAAAATATTCGATTGCGTTAAGCTGAGTGCTACACAGAACGCTTTGCATGACTGCGGTATCAACTCTGTCTTTGTCGTCTTGAGCGAGGAACGAAATGCCGACATCTAGCTGTTCGATGAACCGCGTTGAATCAGCATCAAATAATAGGGTCTGAAGCTTTTTGGGACGGCCCTGGAATCCGTCTTTAATTTTATTAACTGGGGCTAAGGCATTAACATCGATGGAGAACGGCTCACTCATTTGTTCTTCGCAGACGACGTCATCGTCTTCGCTAAAGACCCGGCTGAACTCCAAACAAAGGCTGTGCAGTTGGAAAAGGTGTCACATACCATCAGTCTGGAGATGAATATCTCGTCTACCTAACTGACTCCATTAACAACGTAAAGGGTGAAATCAGCAGAAGGAGGGGGACGACATAGTCACGTTCCAGTCACATCTGAGCGTCGCTGCTGAATATCGAATTGACCATATTCACGAATAAAGAACTATTTGACTCCACGATTTTACCCGCATTGATTTATGTCACAGAGTGCTTGTCTGCCATCAAGGCTGAGAAGAACAATCTAGTAATAACGCAAAACGCGATTTAAAGAAGACTGTGAAAGCAGTCCGTTCGAAACCATGTTAAAAGTGTGAAGGTTCTTTGTTGGAGAAAAGGGCGAGTTGCTGGTCATGCGATTCATTTAAAGGATGGCAGTTCGACATCTGTAGTTACCTATTGGATCCCCCTCGACAACAAACGTTCACTTGATCGTTCACCGTCACGCTGGAACGATCCAACGACCAGTCTGTTTGTTAAACGTTCGAAGCGAAGGGCACAACGCCGAAAAGAATGATGGAACGTCGACTTTATGTGTGTCACATCCGTTGATGAAAACAACTCTGATCTAAAAATTTTTTATTTAAATTTATTTCAGCTTTCAGTAGACGATTTTTTATGCGAATGGTAATTTATTAATGTTGTCATCTTCGAAGGTTTACTCGACACTATTAAAACAGACTATAACGTTTTATACCTAGTTGGATCTGTCTTCAGGAGATGATATATTAGAACAAGTACAATGAACAATCTTATTAATATTGTCTGCTATACATGTTGTTATGTCATGCCCCTTGAAAATGAATGTATTTCGATCAAAAACGTTTCGATTTATTTTAGCCAAATGTATATGGGAGCAAACCATTTGAAAATAATGACAATCGGATTCTCGTTTTATTATTTATTGTTTTATTTCGATTGTATGTAGTGAGCCTCACGTGTATGCTATTGACAATCGACTAGACAACTGCTAAAGTCTGTGGTCTCAAACTAGAAAGAAATATGAAGAAGATATATTCACTGTGAAAAACCTGGCTACTTCATTCATCATTAACTCAAATTGAATAATCAATATAGGGCTGAATGCCAGAGATTTGCCACCGCTGCCAGATGTCGTATTTTAAAGAAAACTTCTTTTTTTGCTCCTACTGTGTCCTCACCTTGAAATAAAGTTGGCGTCCTTATTAATTGAGTAGCCCTTCCTATCTGTTCCAGCATTTATATAAATATGTCGAAACAACTATGAACATTAAATGATATTCAACTTCTCTGTCATGTTCATCGATTTCATCAAAGCTTTTGACTCAGTCTGGAGAGGTGCCTTGCAGCTAGTTTGGTGAAAAATACAGAATCCACCAAAGATTATTCGACCAATATACTATCTTTCGTCATATGCTGTGCGAACTGATGACAGGTTCGGCAGATTCTTTCGTACAGAATTCAGAGTTAAGGCAAGAAGGAGTGAAATCTCCACTTCTTTTTGCGATGTTTCTTGATTAGGTGATCCAGTCAATACAAAGAAATGAAGTTGCAGCTTCAAGAATGGTCAGCATCTTCTTAACATCTTTGTGGATGATATCGTATATCTTGCCGGTACTTCGAGGCTGCGAAATCACTGTTCCTGACTCTGAAACCGAGGTGTTTTGATCTGGGTCTCGATTATTGTAAAGAATACGAAGTGGCTCGATATTGATGGAACCTAGACCAAAGACTGTCGGACTCTTGTCACTAAAGTTGCGGACAAACTCCCGAAACATCTGTATTTTGGCAATGCATTGACTGCAGACGGCAAACGAAGTTAAGAAACTTTGCGCGTTGGCCTTTTCGATGAGCATCGAGTTATTCAGACTTTGAAAGAAGAAAGATACTGGAAATGACGCCAAACTCCAGATATGCTGGACTTGCATTCCAAACGTCATACGCTATGGATTGGAGACCACAGCACTTAAAAGTTGAAGGCGACAGGAATGAAGATTCTAACATCAGTATTAGGAATGAGGAGGAACAACTTTGTTTCAAGTGCAGTTGTGACAGAGAGATTTGAATATTCAGCAAAAAGGACCAAGTTCGTAGAAAACAAGGCGTTTAAGACGGCGAGGCTATTGTCGGCGAACGATCGATGGCGGATACTGAAAACCCGTGGCAAGCGTCTGCTACGAAGACCTTCAACAAGATGGTAAAATGTCTTTAAATGTGACATGACATCGAAAGGGCTGAAAACTGAGCATGCATTCCAGTCATTCGATCAAGGTGGAATGCTTTTATGGCATTCGTCGTCGCTTTCCATGCAGTGGGATAAAAGGAACAAGCAATGACATTCGCTTATTAACATTCAGTGCCTGCTGTTGCTTTTGGGTCGCGGAAACAGCAGCTTCACGAAGCTTATCCAGCGGTTCTAGTCCTCCACTGAAGGGAGAAGCTCAATGATCTGAATTCTAAATAGTGTCAAAGCCAGTTTTTCTGTATATTCGAGCCATGTAGTCTGCGGTTAGCCCTTAATCCATCTTCTGTGTGACTTTTCCGCAAAACATTTACTGCGCGCATCAATTGTTGAATTTTAGTGACAGCTCCAGGCCATCGCAATTGTCGGGAAGAAACGGTTCATTGCCGAAGTGTCTGAATTTTATTTAGCCTCAGCATACCATTACTCCTTCGAAGAAACCTCAGTTTTTCTGCGTGTTCCCGGAATCGAACATCATCTGTAGGTAACTGGTAGCTGCGTATATACAAGCTACCCATTACTACTCCGATCCTTCTGAATCACCACAGACCTCTTTAGCTGCCGCAGCACTGCGCTCGTTTGCTGTTTCATGTGTGTCTTACTACTTATTTCCAGTTGTCAGTCATGAATGGCTCATCGAGATACTTAAACCTGTATATCTGATCCAATTGCCTGCAGAACGCACTGAGGGGTCTTTTCCTAGGTACAGAAGCCTTTGTTTTAGTTAGGCCAAATATCAGCGCATGATGCAGCGAACCAGTCGAGGACAAGCTAATGATAATCACTTACGTCAACAAACACGAAGAGATCGTTCGGTGGCTCAATTTGATTCTGTCTGACCTTTCCAAGTGCGAGTTTTTCTTTTTAAATTATGGCTTCTGAATCAGATCATCATAACTTTAAACAGAAGGGGAACCCACAGGCTAAGGGGGTTGACTGAATTTTAACTGTTTCATACTTCAACAAATCAGTATCATCAGTTTCAGCCTGGCTTGATATTGCATTTAGCCTACCTGATAGACATGTTAGTAAAATTAACCAGATGCAGGATCTATGAAATATCTGGCATCGGGATTGTCTTAGTTTCCAAAAGCCGGTGCTAACTGAGGTTATGAGTCTAGAAAAGAAATTGCGTCATTTCTTTTTCCATACTACGAGTATTTGGAATTATTGATTAAACTATTCTTATGTGAAAAATTCATTTTGGAGCATTTGTCACCTATGGATATAGATATGCTACTTTATTTCTTTTACTATAGACTAGATCATTTCACTGATAAATTCATGGGTAATTCTTTGGGTGTTTGTTTTTAAAATGCCATTCAAATCATCGACCTCTTAATGCGTGCTGCTCTAATGAGGAGATTGGTTATTGCTGTTGATTATTAATTCGTTATGACTTATGATGAGACAGGTGATCATTGCTGGACAATAAAATATTAGCATATTACTGCTGTTCAAGTTTATGTGAATGGTCGTTTTCTGCTGTCTGCGACTTTAACACGATTATTGGAACAAATGTAACTATGAAGCAAGATCTGAGTAGTTTTCTTTCAACGATGAGCCCAAATTAAATTAAATGTCCTCTTCATTATTCTCAACTAATTCCATGAATACTTTATCATTTTTCGATTTTGATCTAATATTTTGGTCTAAACGTCTAGTTATTCATTTATAACCTTAGAGTTTTACAATACTCTGTGCTGCGTCCTCTATTATTTAACATCTGCATCACTTTGGTTTAAGCTACCTGACCCTCCCCTCGCCTCCATATACTGTGTATGCCACCGACATAGTAATAATCACGCCTACCCGAAGCATTGCTGATTCGTCAAAGCTGCAGGGTGCAGTTAGCAAAGTTGTCCACTAGATGTAGTACTGCAGCTTCGTAATCTGCCAGAGGAAGAGCGCCTAGTTCCAGTTGACTGACGTCATAGTCTAAAGGAGTACTTTCGGCTGCCGAACAACCAATTACAATTGAAAACAATCCTGTTCCATTCCCCACGAACAAATCTCTACCGCAGGTCACTACTGCGGTTTATCTCCAGGACTTTCGTAGTGTCTGAAGAAATGATATTGCAGGCCTCGTGTTACAATGGCATTCTAAGCTTTTATTTTTTGCAATTTGTTCGACGTTGCCATTTAACTCATGGGCATGAAAACACATAGTTGAAATAGCAACTTTATTGCCCAATATTACTCTGTATAATAAACCTAATCTATTTGTTACGAGTAGATGACTAGTTATTCCCGAAATTACCGCTTAATAAGTATACTCAAAAACAGAATAACTATCTTCATCTTCCCTGACCGCCTCTCCTTTCCGGTCACGGAGACAGACACATCAGAATGTGATAAATATTATATGATAAATCAAATTAAGAACAAACATCACAGCCGGCATAATGGATGTCAGTGATATGATATATTGTATTCATTGTTTAGTACGAAATTGTCTTTAGTGTTCAAGCGTTTACCGAATTATGAACTTGAGGTAACAATTAAATTGCCATGTAATTTTAAAAAATTTTCTTCATTAAATCCTTTGAAGATGTCATCCTTAGATTTTAAGCGAGTAAAATTCAAAGTTTGCACACATTATCGTTGCAGTAGTTCCAAATGATTCTCAAAGTAGCGTGTGCCATTTTGTCTTTTCGTCTGTTCGAATTGCGACCCTTTGAATCCATGGGATTTATTCATAAATAAACAAATGATGACAGCATTCATGAGTCT